CTAGAGAAAATAAAACAATGCTCGAAAGGGGTATTAGAGCCTACCCCGTACTTGGCCTAATGGTATCACCTCCCTGTTTCCGTGGCAAAAACCAGAAAAGTTACATATGTCACCTTTATCACTGATTTGCCTTGTACTTTCTTGCATGTTTTTCTCTACTCTAACCTACGGTGGCCGACAGGGGCCAAACGCACTGCAAACAAAAAACGTGGTGCAAATGGAAAAAACGCGCTGCAAGAAACAAAAACAAATGCATCATCATTAAATGCGCTGCAAATGGAGAAACGATGCAAAGCACAAAACGACGCATACCAAGAAAACACCTGCAAAAAGAAAAACGCTGCATAAAAAGTCACCACAACGGAAGTGCTCCAAACCTGCAGGGGGGCGCTCTCAGTGTAACAGCTCAATGGAGAGACACACCGGCTGGAGAGAGACAGGTACTCCTTATGAGAGAGACGGAAAACGACTATAAATTACAGCGGGAACAAATTATTGTTACGGTAATGTGGCTTTTATTTTATTATATTCATGTATTGTGTTTATAAATAATATAAATATCGCTGTACAACGCGGTACTTCACGTGCCGGTTATTTTATTGTATTTCACACCAGACTTTACAAGGCGATACATTAGCATGTCGATTAGCTTGTTTGCTAATAGCGATCAAATAAGAATAAGATAAGATAAAAAGATTAGAGATTGATACAAAACACCTGTTTTAATAGTACAGTCTTCTATACTTAAACCCTTTCCTTTTCTTTCCCCTTGCAGATGTACTGTCCATTTTGTGGATCTGCGCTTACAGCTTCACCTGCCTTTTGCCGTGCGTGTGGCAAAAACGTCACTTTTTTTAAAACGCGTCCAGGAGGAGACGCCTGCAACTCACGCACATATTGATGTTGCACAACCTTCCACCAGTCAAGGTAAACAGATTCATGATTTTGTGACAAAAATTATCAGAAGGGAGCCTGAGAGGTTCAGATCTTGTTCTTGTATATACAAAAAACACTTTTCTCTTCACTACCCTGGATTAGTAACTGGCATTAGAGGTATATTGAAATGCCCTGCAGAAAGTAATTTTATATGAACATAACTATGAACTCAGTAAGAGCATTGAATCAGTATGTAATTCCTATGTGTTTTTTTTTAGCAGGAAGCATAGAAACATTTCTGAGGTTTAGGGCAGTTAAAGACAGGGAGAGAAAGTCATTCTTTTCAAAGAAACGTCAGGCCTCTCAGAGTGAAAAGCAACAGAAACCAGTGAAGGTATGATATGTTGTTTACATAGGGTGTTGCATAGGCTGTTCAGATTTGGCTGTCAGTGCAGATCTACACCTTGTTAAGTGACATATCATATTGATTTGTCATGTTGTATTTCTGTTTTATTTACTGTCATTTGTTATTTTGCAGATTTATGTTGGAGTTATGAGGTTGACAGGTGACTCCTTAAAACCTGTAAGAGGGAAATCACTGCCTCTGGACATTCAGCCTCACTGGTCATCAGAGCAGCTATTGGCTGCTGCTGTTAAAAAACACATGGATTTTAACCAGGACATGCAAGATGTTGTCCATGTTTTGTTGTACCCTGATGGCAGACAAGTGAGAAACATCCCAGGAACAAATGACCCTTTCACTGTTCAGAAGTACAAGGAGGCAATTGGGAAGGCCTACCAGAGGATAACACTCTACATTTGCACTGCAGAGGATTTTGAAACCAGTTGTAAGTGTTCCATTTTGTATTAATTCATGGTTTCCTATTGGTATCTTATCTGTGCAGGATAAAGTCTGCAAATTATTCAGAACATTATAGTCATTTTTGTTTAAATGCCTTTTTTGAAGGCTATACTGGACAGTCTTCTAGTGAAGATGACAGTGTTGTCCATGTGAACCTGCCATCTGTGGAAAGTGAACTCTCTGACACTGTGGTGAGTGTATATATGTAAAAGACATAGCAAATTTGCCTATTGCCAGGTACATTACCATTTAACTATCAGTTAAGTTATAAAATTACATTTAATCTAATGTGTTATATCTGTATATTTATATTATGTGCTGCACGCAGGTCTGGGACACTCCAGATAATGTGAGCACCCCAAAAACAGACAACATTTTGCAGGGGTAAAAATTGCCTTAGTCAAGTGATGTTTTTCTTCATAAACAATTAGGAAGATTAATTATTTATTTGTTATTCACAGACCCTCCAGATGCCAACAACCAGAATCTCATCAAGTAAGATTATATCCAATAGTATTGATTGTCTAACATAAAATTGTGAAATAGCAGTAAATAATTTTGGAAATTAATTTAGTCATCCTAAGTCCTTTGTATCTATCCTTTTATGGCTTGCATTAGTTCTAAGCAGGTAACAGTGCTAAATGATTAACTTAAAAAATGTATTATTTTTAAATAGGATGGACAGCAATCAACTCCCCAGGATCAGTTAAGATCTTCACAGAATCTGAATACCTGGTATAGGTAAGCTGGTGGACAGTTACAACCTTAACATTTTTGGTTAGTGTGTGTATGTGTTAAATGAAGAACATAATACATTAGCGTATGCCCTGCAATTCCTTCACATTTTTTATACTTCTATGCTTTCTTTCTTGGAATATCCAACTATTTATTGACATTCATTTTTACTGCTATATTGCAACATTACAAAAAGCTTACTAAAGACCAGTCTATCTACATTTCTCAACCAGCTACCCCAATTCACACCCAAAGTCAAAATAACATTAGAACTCCAACAAATATTTTTAAATTTTCTGGGAAGTGTAAGAAATGTACTATGTATATAGGTATTGTTGACTGACTGGAATCAATGAACTTTTTCCCTGCAGCAACTACACCACCATGTATGCACCTATAGTAGTTGACAGTGAGTCTGAGACAGATGACCACATAGACTACCCTGCAGAACAGTATGATATATTACTAGTTAGTACCTCATTGTTATTGTTGGCTCATATATTGGAACTCATGTACTGATATTCTCTTGCAGTCCGCAGGTTTTGAACCTGACTGCTGAAGACATTGTTTCAGACCTGGCCTCCAAGATTACCAACACTTCATACAGCAGGTTCAACATAAACAGGGCAAATATATGGGATGGAGCAATCAGAGGCTTCAAGCGACCATCTTATGACCCATCACATGAAATTTTGGTTAAATTCACTGATGATGAGGGGCGAGCAGAGGATGCAGTGGACACTGGTGGTCCCAAACGAGAGTTCCTCACCCTGCTGATGGACTGCCTTAGATCAAGGAGAATATTTGATGGTCCAGACGATAGGAAATTTCTCACGTTTGACTGTGCAGGTAAACATCTTATTGTTTCAGACTTAAATTACAGGTACATTGCATTTCTGAAAATTCATACTGAAAATTCAACATCTGGTTTTAGCTCTACACTTGGGTTCAGTGAAATTAACTTTGGTATGCATTTTCATGTGAACTCAAAAATGATTTTAATAGTGGACTAATGGATGGTAAAATGTTAACAGCTGCCAGAGATGATGAGTATTTTCATGTTGGGAGGATGATCGCTACATCCATAGTCCATGGTGGTCCAGGCCCTCGATTCTTGTCAGAAATGCTATACGACCACCTCACGGGAAAATCAACAGCTGATTTTGAGGCAAGGATTGAGGACATCACCGATGACACCATGAGAGCTTCCTTGCTTGAGGTTTGTGGTCAAATCAAGAAAGCTCACAAATTTGACTAATTGATCCCCTGAATTCCATTTTTAAAACCGGTTTAAAACTCGGTTCTCAGGTATTGTTCCATCTTTTTAAAAACATGGAATAGTGAATACTTGTAATCTAACAACCCAACCATTTGTAGTAAAAGCCAGTTTGCACCATCTCAGAACATTATCTGAATTAAGCCCCTCCTTCCTATTTTATGACATAGACCAGGATTTTCAAATTGGGTAAATGTGAGCCTCCTCCTCCTCCTTAGAGTAGGTAAAGACAGGTAGTATCACTGAACATCAGTAGCCTGACACCAGTCCTGGTTCAGTGCTAGCTTAGTCCTAGTTTAGTCCTCCTGATTCAGTCCTGGGTTCAGTCCTGATTTAGTTTGTGTGTGTCGCGTCTCTCCAGTGGCTCTTTGGCACCTCCCAGGGGAGGCAGGTCTCACCTATTGAAAACTGCTGGCATAGACAATATAAAATTGTGTGATTTCTTTCCATCTTTATCTTTCAGTATGGGAAGTTAGTGGCATTTCACTTAAATGTATGGTTATTGTCTTGCAGATATCCAGTGCAGCAACACTGGTTGAACTGCATGCAGTGATCGACAAACATTCAAGTCTGTTGCAGATGGCTGGTTGTCTTCAGTATCCAAAAGTTGTATTGGACAAGAAGATAATAATGAAAGACTTCATGCAGTGGTACTTCATTTACCGCAACCATTTCTCAATTCAAAGGTTGTTGTTTTTTTTGCATATTCATTGATTAAATGAATTTAATTAGTTATAAGTTGTAAAGTCTTATGTTAATTATTAACTGCCAAGTAATTAGTATGCTTAAAGGAATAGTTAAACATTTTGGCACCGATAAAAGGTAATGTACGTATCTCTATGTTTATAGGGATTATGGCAGTAGTCCAATTTGTTGAACTATCCCTTCTGATACTGCTATTGTTCTAAAGCATTTGTGTTTTTTTGCTCTGTTGATGTTTTGTAGGTTCAAGGATGGGCTTTCAACACTTAACATGATTCATGCTTTGGAGCAGCATGCATCTATATTCAAGACATTTATGTGCTCAAGTGTGGAGCAGCTGACATCCACAATACTGGAAAATCTTTTTGAGGTTCAACTCAGTGAACAAGGCACCACAAGACGCCAAGAAGAAACCAAAGTATTAGCATTCTGGAGAGACTATCTCCTTGATACAGAAGGTTTATTATGTTTCTCTCATCTTGTATGAATAACAACTTTAATAAAACACATTTTAAGAACATGATCAATAATGCTTTTTTTTTTCCTCCCAAGATAAACAAACAGGACTCTCCCTCCCTGACATCCTGATGTTCGCCACAGGACTCTGTTCTCTGCCCCCATCTGGGATTAAGCCAAGACCAAAGTTGGTGTTTCAAAGGGTGTCTCGCTTCCCATGCAGCAGAACCTGTGCAAACACCATGGAAATTCCATTGTCAACAACTTATGAAGAGTTTCAAAAGGACATGGACTTTGGAATACAAAACTCTCCTGGTTTTGGACTGTACTAATTTTTTTTATTGTATAACTGATAGGTTGACCTTTAGTGTCTGAAGTTCAACAGTTATTACCTGTATTAGTGATGTTACAACTCAGCCATGTTCTTCAATCTAATATAAAGTTCCACACAGGTCTCCCAGGTCATTGGCTGCATTAGACCACTCTGTCTTTGTAGATCCTCAAAGTGTGACTGGAGATGACGATCTCCACATGAACTGTGTGTTGCCTCAATCTGAAATGGCCCCAGTTCCTCCAGTGAAACCGGAAACCCACAGTCAGTTCCACCAAACCTGGGAGTAAAAATATGTTACGTGTAGCTTGGACTCAACTAGCTGAGCGCAAGACTGTTACCATATGCAATACTATTAAGTGCAAGGGTTTTTCACATCTTTTCTTAATGTACTTCACTTCACACCTGTTGCTCTTTGTTATTATATATTGTGATGTGTGGGTTACTGTATCCAAGTAATTTCCCTTGTGGATCAGTAAAGTTTGTCTAGGTCTATTGTTACATTTTATCCAGTTATTTCAATTAAGGTAATAAATAAATACATAAATGAATAACCTGTGAGGTAGGCTGTACATGACCTCTGGTTTCCCAGATGGACAACGAGACTGTTTAGCAGGTCTTATTGTATGAGTGTTCCACTTTTTTCTGCATTCATCAAGGTCATGTTGTAGCATATCCATAAATGCAAATCGCAGGAGGCATGTGTGCTCATGACTGCTGTTAAAGAGATTTCGCTCTCTCAAATCATTCATAAGGTCCATCCAAAATTGAGACCTGAAAACACAAGCTGGAATTAGGGCAATGCATTTCAGGGAATGTTTTTGGATTCTAATGCAATTGAAAATGTTTTAATTTGTTGTTCAAAAAAAGCAAGAAACTTTCAAGGACCACAATGGTCTATTTTCTATGTGTTTTAAAGACTATTTTAGAAATGTGCTTCTAGCATGTAAAACACTTAAAGAAATCCATAATAACACCTTTGTTTGCGAAAATAAGACCACCAGCTTTCAATTCTTTGGTTTGCCATTGAAGAGCCATACAAATGACTAGCAGCCCCAGCATAGTCGTCAGTGTGAGATGATCTTAAGGCACACTGAATTGCTGCCATTGTGCCATTTTCAGTGCCACAGTCAGTACGAAGTCGCATTGGAATGATTCCATATTCTGTCAGGCAGTTCATGTAATTCTGGGCAATGACCACTGGGTCATTGTTGCTTGCTCCACATTTCAACCACAGCACCTTTCGCGAGTATCCATCTATGCAGCCACTGATTCCAAAACCGTATGGTTTCAACTTATCGTATCCATCCACATGCCACACATGGTTCGGTCCATCAGAAGTGTAAACTCGCTTAACAAATCTTCTGCTTGCACGATGTTGAATTCCTTGTGGATCCAGTTCTCTCATCAGGGCCATAACATCATCCCTCCTAACTGTCAGCGAGTATTTTAGGCGCAATGTCTGCCACATTGAACGGTAGCCATAGTGTTGCCCTGGACCCTTTAACTCCTCCTGTATGGCCCCACAAACACTGGCAAGAGTAGAGTAGTTCTTTTGTCTGAACAAAGACAGCATATTCAGCTTCCTCTTCAAGGAGCGAAGGCTCATGTGCACATTGTGTTTAGAAGCTAAAAAATCCAAAATCTCCGCATTGCTGTAGCTCTCATTAAAATATCTTCTTATTAGGTCATCTGTGAGGACATCTGATGCTGACCCTATAAACATAAAGTGGGATAAAGGCAGACATTTTATTAGAATTATCACAAGCCAAATATACATGAATGCATTTTACATGAAAAAGTGGCATTAACATCATTGATCATATCAATGTTATTTAAAAACTGGATATGAGTCCACTTACCGTCTGCATATTCTGCTAAAAAATGCACACTGGAGCCACATGAGCCACAGGACATTGGTACATCGGTAGTTCCCAGATCGTGTCCGCAGTAAGGACAAAACATATTGGCCTGGAAAAAGACGATAGATCAGTATAAACTAGAAAACTGAAATCAGAAACGTGATAAGTAACGTCACTGATATGGGTATTTATACACTACCTCTTAATATACACAAACAGCGGAGATCATAAGTGTATAAGTTAACTGCTGGCATAATAAGCATAATACTTAATGTGCAGCGTTGTATCGTATGGAAGACTGCGATAAGATGGCTTTTAAATGTACTATTAAAACGGGTGTTTTGTATCAATCTCTAATCTTTTTATCTTATCTTATTCTTATTTGATCGCTATTAGCAAACAAGCTAATCGACATGCTAATGTATCGCCTTGTAAAGTCTGGTGTGAAATACAATAAAATAACCGGCACGTGAAGTACCGCGTTGTACAGCGATATTTATATTATTTATAAACACAATACATGAATATAATAAAATAAAAGCCACATTACCGTAACAATAATTTGTTCCCGCTGTAATTTATAGTCGTTTTCCGTCTCTCTCATAAGGAGTACCTGTCTCTCTCCAGCCGGTGTGTCTCTCCATTGAGCTGTTACACTGAGAGCGCCCCCTGCAGGTTTGGAGCACTTCCGTTGTGGTGACTTTTTATGCAGCGTTTTTCTTTTGCAGGTGTTTTCTTGGTATGCGTCGTTTTGTGCTTTGCATCGTTTCTCCATTTGCAGCGCATTTAATGATGATGCATTTGTTTTTGTTTCTTGCAGCGCGTTTTTTCCATTTGCACCACGTTTTTTGTTTGCAGTGCGTTTGGCCCCTGTCGGCCCCGTACTAACACCTGATCTCTCTCCTTTTGCAGAACAGATGGGCGACAGTTGAGGTGTTGCGGGGAACCACACGGCGACTGAAAAAGAGGCTCACAATCGGCTATGAATCGGCTTGTTCAAAAAGCGATGCCTTTTCTCGGGACGGACATGACGGAGGATCTGTGGGCGAACGGCAGCTGGGCCAGTCCAACTCCGGCCGGGCTGTTTCTTCTCATGTTCAACGAGAGCGCTTTCAACGATTCAATGCTAAACTCAACCAACTCCCCAGACCCAATGGGACCAAGCATAACCGGAGTGCTTATTCCGTTGATTTACATTGTTGTTTGCATCATAGGACTGGGAGGGAATACTCTAGTCATTCACATAATCCTCCATTACTCCAAAATCGAGTCCGTCACCAATATTTATATTTTGAACTTGGCGATCGCTGACGAACTTTTCATGATCGGACTGCCGTTCTTAGCGATCCAAAATACGCTCCAGTCGTGGCCGTTCGGACCCTTAATGTGTCGGTTAGTTTTGACCGTGGACTCAATCAACCAGTTCACGAGTATTTTCTGTCTAACTGTCATGACGATCGACCGGTACCTCGCCGTAGTCCACCCCATCCGGTCCTCAAAGTGGCGTCGTCCGCAAATAGCCAAGATTATCAATGGGACAATCTGGGCGCTTTCGTTTTTAGTCGTTTTGCCTGTTGTGATTTTTTCGAATACAGAGAAAAAAGGGGGGACTTGTAACATCGCCTGGCCGGAACCGTCGAATATTTGGCGAGCTGCTTTCATCATTTACACCTCCACTGTTGGCTTTTTCGTCCCACTTCTGATTATCTGCTTTTGCTACTTGCTAATTGTGTTCAAAATCCGTAGCTCTGGTAAAAAGGTCCACGCAACGTCAACAAAACGCAGGAAATCTGAACGAAAAGTTACGCACATGGTTATAATCGTAGTCGCGTTGTTTGTGCTTTGCTGGATGCCATTTTATCTCCTCAATACCATAAATTTGCTAGTAGCACTACCGCCTGAATACCAAGGACTGTACTTCTTTGTTGTTGTCCTAGGCTACGCTAACAGTTGTGCTAATCCAATTGTGTACGGTTTCCTGTCTGACAATTTCAAAAGAGGTTTCCGGAAAGCGCTATGCAGATCCACACGAAGGGTTGAAAATCATGAACCGATTGAGCGACAAGAGCAAAGAGATGAAGGAAGGCGCGCATTAATGCCCCGAGAAAGTTTAAGAAGAGTTATCCGAGAAGTCGACGATGATGACGAAGATATGTCAGAAATGACGGAAATCTACAGAATCACCCAAAATGGCAATTGCGATTTCCGGCAGCAAACTTCGCAAATGCTGTTCACGGAGAATAGACTGGTACCGGGAATGACGGACATGTCATCACCAGAAAAGAGGGACAAAATGGCCGATCCAAAATGTGCAAATAACGCAATGAACGGGTCCAGTCTGGCTGCCCCACTTGTTTTGAATGGGACCAAAAATGGGAGCATTAAAACTCTACCAGAGGAGAACACAGCTGAGCAGAGCACCTCTTTAGAGATTAGCTACTTATAACTGACCAAGATAAAAAGCAGTGCAACGTGTTTGAACACTGGCTGCATTTTCTAAAACTGTACATAACCATACTGAAGCACAAGGAGAAGACATCCTATATTTATTTAATGTATATTTTGTAAAAATGTAAGTTTATTAAAGGTGTGCTATGTAACTTTTTGGTTAGGGGTCCATCACATGCTTGTTGCTATGGATATGTCATTGCTCTGCCTGGAATGTTCCACAGTTTGACGCTAAACAGCTCTACGTTACATGTATATCAATTACAGGTGGTTTTACAGCAGAAAAATACCTAGAAAAAACAGGCATTCTGATTGTGAGATGGGTCGCCTCTCCACAGATCTGACCAGCAACTTGGCCTGGTTTAGTCTCCATGAACATAGAAAGGTTTAATGTAGGGATGTAACAATAACCAAAATATCATGCAGCAATAGCTAAAAAAAAACTACATAGACCATGATCCTTTGCTCCATTTCAGTGTAGATTATATGAAGAAATAACAGTTCTAAGCACTTTTAAGTATTAGTTCTTTGGTCTTGTCAAGTCATTTTAAGAGGAAAAGTAGCATATTTACAGTTTTGTTTGCCTCCACAAAATATAACAATAAATATCGAACCGTGAGATGTATATCGTGAAAATATCGTACTGAGAGATTTGGATATTGTTACATCCCTAATCATGAGCCTCTCCACCATATCATGAGCTTTCCCACAATATCACAATAAATCGTACCTTGATGTTAATATCGTGACAATATCGTATCGTGAGACTTGGATATCATTACACCCCTAGTTTAATGCCATACTGTGAAACATTCCAAACAAAGCAAAAACATCTCCATGGAGAAAAGCAGGTGGCAGAACCTCCACCAGAAAAGTCACACAATGCATCTTTAAATGTGCAGAAATGGTCTCCATGGAGATGTTATTGCTTTGAAATTTCCACAGTATGGCTTTAGGCTTTAGACTTAGACTTATATCTTACATGTATTCAATTTTCTTTTCTTTTTTTTTTTTAACAAAATATTACAAATGGTATTTTTAAGTGGGTAGCTTCTTCACAGATCTTACTTTTAATTTGGCCTGTTGATGTCAGCTGCTTGTCATCATGGAGACTGATAAGCTACAAAAAGCATGAAAAATAGGCAATCCAGCTAAGTATACATGTACCTTGATCTTAATGCTTTACTGTGTAACATTCCAAGCAAAGGAAAAACATCTCCATGGAGACAAGGAAGTGATCTGCACTGTTGTTTCACCTGAAAAGTTACAGTTATATAAAACACTGTGGCTGAATACTACAAAGTTATAATATTTAAAGAGGGGGTATTTAAATTTATGGGGTATAGACTGTTAACACATAACATTTAAATCACCATGTTTATTGTTTCTTAAGTTTTATTCAATTTTGTATCATGTGTTTGTATATTTATGGAGAATTGTCGTGTGGGATCATGGGTGGACTTATGGGACGAACATTGCACTGAATGTAACACCTAACCGTGAGGAGGGTTTAAACAGGGCCCCGGGAGAGATCACTAAATTACTCTAACATGCATGGATGGGATTTAAAACCTCTTCAGGCATGTTTTTAATGAGGGAACAATGTTATAACATGGTAGAAAGCTAAGAAAAAAATCGATTTTGCATAATACCCCCTCTTTAATTGCCAGTCTGGAGCATGGATTAATGAAGTTTGAGGCCATCTGAGTCAAAACTGTTTTTAGCTCCTGCCAAAAAAGCTGTAATTGTCTAGTTTGTGTTTTTTCTCTGGTCAGATTTTGCCCTGTCTCCTACAGCGCTGTACATCATTGTCCAGAGAGATACAGATTGTCACTTTTTTATATTCTTACATAAACTGGGTCTATTTTTACCACCAGAACTATGTGACCAGCAGCAGTGTTGGAAGGACGAAGCATAAAAGTAAAAGTACAATACTTAAGTACAATTTTTAGGTGTCTGTACTTTATTTAAGTACATTTCACAGTGGATACTTTTAATTTTACTTCACTACATTTGAGAGCAAGTATATGCACTTTCTGCTCCACTACATTTTAGATCTGGACTAAAAAGTGAAACGTGCTTATCTTTATGGTTTGAGACCTGCTGAAATGTCTGAGACTTATTTTTAGCACATTTTATTAAAGTTATTACACCAACTTCAAGCAAACCAAATGCACAGCTTGAAAAAAGAAAGAATCAGTAGAATCGGCTAAATTCTCAATTCTTCAAAATCACTACTTTAATGCATTAATTGTTTCAAAAACCTGCAAAATACTTTTTACTCTTAAAGTACATTATTCAACAGGTACTTCAATAGTTTTACTTAAGTACCATATTTTCTGGACTATTGAGGGCACCTGAATATAAGCCGCATAAACTAAATTTTAACTAAATTTTAAATTTGCACATATATAGGCCCCACCTGAGTATAATCCACAGGTGTCCACGTCCTCAAGAACATTTTCAAGTTCGGGCCGTCTGCATTTATCACCTCTGAAAGTTTTGTCGTCTTTTTGCATTGAGTCAGTTTGTCACTTTGCAGTCGCCAACGTCTCATCATTGTCTCTTACAGTTACTCTTAACTTAAAAGGCACATCATCTGCATTTCTTCCAGTGTTTTCCATGAGGAGGGTGTGTGCATGAAGCGCAAAATAACTGTTTAAAACACGATTAAACGAGCGTTTTCCTCAGCGCATCACTCTGTCTCTCCCTGTGCTCTGCACTTCTCCTGCAGAAAGAGCATCTGTCCTGTCTGTATCATGTCAGTATCTTGTAGGATTTCAGCAGATTTCAGACCCTTTCGGGGGCGAGGCTAATTGTGTCGATCAGGTGTGAGTGGATGTCCGGCTACTGAAGTTTAAGATGTTTCTTCTCATCATTTACGCATACGGGTAAGACGTATCGCCCTCACTAATGTTCATTTAGTATCATAACTTATTTTATCACACGGCGATAAACTATTTGAGTGCGCTGACAGTATCGCTAGCTAATGTAACAACTTCATGTGAACCCTAGATCCATGTGTAAATCGCACAGACTGCGGGCGTTTTCTGCACTCAGGCTGTGTGCATCTGCTGTGTTGCCAAACCATAGACCATATATATGAATGGACAATGTGCCAAACAGAGAACCCGTCCATATATTCGCTTCATCATTTTATTAGCAGCAGGGTTCAAAATATGAGAAAAAAGTAGCGGTTTATAGTCCAGAATTTCCGGTACATTTTTTCATGTGATATTTTTACTTGAGAACTGTTTTGCCCCTGTGTCTGTACTTTTACTTAAGTAACAAAATTGAGTACTTAATCCACCGCTGACCTTTTGGACATAGTGGCAAAAGGAGAAATTCAATTTGACCTTTGACAAATTGAATTTCTCCTTTTGCCATGGATTCTATCTGGCCGACTGAGGGATTTTAGACACATTTTGGTGTTTTACTGTAGCAATGAGACCATTGCAGTACTTTTTATAAACCTTTGTACAGACTCTTGAACTGTTTGTTTGAAATAAGTAACACTAGTACACATGTTGTAAAAGAAGGTATATATTGTATGTATATCGTATGTCATTGTTCACCTTGAAGCCTGCAGGTTCCAGTCGGTACCATTTATTTTCCCAGTGGATTTTTTGAATCATTCAGGTAAGAGTTTAAAGGTTCCATATTACGCTATTTTCTGATCTGTTAGAATGTTGTTTCCTTATCAAAAGCATACCTGGACACACAAATCCTGTATATTTAGTCTGAGTTCTTCTCTCAAACAGAAAACACTGTTCCACCTTGTGATGTCACTGATATCCACTTTGTTTTTAAACTCCATATGTTGTACCCGTGTAGTAAGGGTATGTTGTATTGTGCTTCTAGAAACAAAAGAACCACTTGAGTGATTTCTCACTGCTTCCTTCATGCACAAGTTTAATACAATCAAATATAATCATTATCAACAGCATTTTACATGTGGCTCATAAGACTTTGTGAACACAAAATGGCGGACACAAGCTTACAATGTAAAAACGTCTGGTCTTATTAATGTAAAAACACAGCAATCAAACTTTTAGCTAATAATAAAACATTTTCCTATGTCAACAATCGCTTTAACAATGTACAGCAAACACAAAACATTTGGTAAATCTCACCTAGAAACAAAAGAACCACTTGAGTGATTCCTCACTGCTTCCTTCATGCACAAGTTTAATACAATGAAGAGAAGAAGCGCGAAATCCCCCAAGTGGTGCGCGAAGGCATCATCAATCACCAGATCATTGAATCCCAGGCTAAGCAGTCGATCACAGATATTATGGATGGTACTGAAAAATAAACTAAAATAAACGTTTTAATAAACTTTTAACTATTTTTTCTAACTGTTTTTAAGGCTTATTTAAATTTATATTTATTAATATTTATTACAAACGTTTTTATTGTTTTTAACTTATTAACATGGGGGCATATACTACTATTCTAACCTATCACACATACACCTTCACTGGAACCATTTTCAGCTTTGGAACTACTGTACTAAAGTTAAAAAGAAAAAACTTCATGACATCACAAGGTGGAACAGAGCATTTTGAGCTTTGGAGATGCAGACTAATAATAAAAGATTTGTGTGAATGAAACAAAACACAACTGTGGGTATGTTTTTGAGTAGATAACAACATTATAACATGGCTTAAAGCTCAGAAGAGTCAATTTTGCATAATATAAGACCTTTAAAATCAGGCAAGGATGGCTGGAACCAAACTATTATTGTATTGAATGTACCGTCATTTGTAGCTCTTAAGAGGTTAGAGGTCCCATTCTCTGTCCTTAACATCTGATTTGGTTAATAAGTCATTGTTTGCTTTCTGAAGTCACCTTCCATCACAGCGGTCATGCTATCTTAACCCAGATACACTTTGTTCTAGTTTATTCAAATGGCCTAAAAAAATTCCACGATTCAAAATGTTCAGATTTTCATATTTTTGTACTATTTATGTATAAACAGTATTTTGTACATAGAGC